CAGAGAAGAGAAAGAAAAACTGATCACAGGCACATGCATAGCATGATCCAGCATCCACTTTAAGCCAAAAGTCTTAACAAAACAAAAGCTATGGCTGCAACAGCAGCAGTAGAAAAGGTAACCGATATAACTAAGAGTTTCCCCTGACATTTCAGCCATTACAGAGCAAAATCTCCTTTCCCAGCTAACAACAATGCCATCATGGCTTCTCAGAAGCACTGTCTCCTTCCTTGCTGTCTCCCTGTCCATTCCTGCTTCCTGCCTTGCTGCTTCCACGTCCAGCCAACACATGGCGCCAATTATCATATACATACCCAGCGACAGGATCAGCTACTTGGGCACTTGAAACATGATGTGAGCTTCAGTCGAGAAAATACCGCCGTGTGCCCTTCCCCTTGCTTAATGTGTTTCTTGACCTGAAAAGTTGATAGCACAATTATTTATGTAGTTACTGAGAGATGACAAGGCACAAGACAATGAAAATGATATTTCCCCTTTGCTGGTTGCAGTTTGCACTTAGCAGTACCCAAGAACAGACAAGCAAATCTGCAACATGTTTTAAGTGGACAAATCAATTCCCTACAAAGCTATAAGCTAATTCAGCTGCTGAGCATCCATTGAGCATCGAGCAAATACCGCCGCCTTCCATCCTATCATTCAGTATTTACAAGTCAAACTCAAAGCAGGGAAACTGGGATAAAGCCTGGGCATCATATCATAATCATTTCATTTACAACACAGGATTAAAACCTGTGTGCAGCTACAACACTACTGTGAACTCCGAAAAATTCCACCAATTTATGACAGGCCGTCTTTCAGCTGCAATAGTTGGGGATTTGAACTAGCACCTACAGTATGCAAGATGTCACTGATGGTGAGGGGTACGTTTGATTCTCGATTGAATCGAAACAGCCAGCAGTGTGCAGAAACATAACTTCAATTATTCAACTGGCATCAGTCCTATCCTATGTAGCCTTCCATCTGTAGCAATGGATGAACACTTGGATCGATCTGTGGCTCACGGCTGTACTGCTTGGATTCCTCTCCCTGTACAAGCCTACAGCCGTGAGCCCCAAGATCGATCAAACGCGTTCATCTCCCAGTTTCCAAGAAAGATTTCTCCGACGTCGGTTACACTGCACTTGGCCCAGCAGCTAAAAAGTCTCCCTTTTGAGTCTCATGTCAGCATCCTCTGATCTCATCATTCAGAGTTCAGTAGAGTCCCTTGTCACTAGACCTTCAGCTTGAGCCATCATGTGTTTCTTTCTTTGCATTGCACAAATTCCCAACATGACATTAACAGCTTGGACACTGAAGGTCTAGTATAGTATCTCCGGGTTTGAAGCTGCTTTGTGAGCAATTGAAGCACAGCATACGTAAAGCGTAAAGGGTCCATGGCTCCATCCATTCCGTGTAGCTTCTGCTTCACCAAGCAAAGCGAGTGTCCGAGTGAGTGAGTGAGTGAGTGAGTGACACACACACTGCGCTTAAATGTCAACGCCCGAAGCGATACATCTCCAACATTTTCGAACACAACAGGCCACCAACATGTTGAAACCAGGCGTTGCCCTGGGTCCTTGAGCTTAGGCCTCGACGGCGACGCGCCACCGGCGTGGTGATCGCGGCGACAGAGTAACAGATGGAACAAGATCGTGAGAGAATAATGCGCCGCCAAACATCGCGGTTTTTCCGGCCTCTATTGTTTCTTATTTATAATGATAGATGGGACCAACTGTAGCTGGTTCCTCAGAGGCGACCAAACACAAACCACTGTACTCAAAACCCTGAACTTCATCAGTGGAATCAAGCAAATCGGGTATCATTTTGTACCTCATTGGAATGCCTTCTGAATCAACCGAAGCTCCTATCGGTGGTGTCGCCCATTGTATCTGCGGTGCTGACTGCAGTGTTGATCCCACAATTGACATGGTTGGCGTGTGAGGTGGCGTACCCGGAGCACCCCTCTCTGATGGAATTGCTGCAGCAGGTGAAGACGGCACTCCCGCATCGAGATCCTGATCAGCGAGCTGTGTCGGCTCTATTGCCGGACCGTGAACAGTGCCATCCAGCACTTCATCTGCATACACGACTGAGAATTGTGGTGCCAATTCGCTCTGGCCTGCTGCTTTCTCCTCCCAATTCCATCTTCTTTTTTCATCAAAAATCACGTCCCTAGTCACTATCAACTTCTTGTTGACTGGATCATACACTCTATAGCCTTTGGTCCCCGATTCATAACCAAGGAACACCCCCGATATCGATCTATCTGCCAGTTTGTTTACACTCGGCCCTGTACGCTTTGCAAACGCCGTACAGCCAAGCGTCTGGGAGGTGCCGCACACTCGGTTTTCTCCCCGAACCAAGCCTCAAAACGGAGTCCTGCCATTTAAACTCTTTGTTGGCGACCGATTCAACAAGTAGACAGCTGCTTTTACTGCTTCTCCCCAGAATTTTCCCGGCACACTCATACTCTTTAACAGACATCGAGCCATCTCCACGACAGTTTGATTGCGTCGTTCCACCACTCCATTCTACTGGGGAGAGTATGGCGTTGTGGTATTCCGCTTGATCCCTTGTTCATTGCAGTAAGCAACAAACATACCGGAATTAAACTCACCACCCCGGTCAGTTCTGAACGCCTTCAGACGATGGCCTGATTCAACTTCAGCTCCCACTTTTATCTTCTTGAAACTGCTCAGTGCTTCATCCTTGGTTGCCAACAATTCCAGCCACATGTAGCGGCTGTGATCATCCACGATCAACAGAAAATACAATTTCCCACCTGGTGTAGGCGGTGTGATCGGTCCACATAGATCACCATGAACCAGATCAAGGCCTCCACTAGCACGGTACGCCGAAACTTGAGGAAAAGGAGTGCGATGCTGCTTCCCAAGTGCACAACCATTGCAAACTTGTTCAACTCGACTGATTGTTGGGATTCCCTCCACCATCTCTCTCACACCGAGATCACGAAGTGATCTGAAGTTGAGATGCACATACCGTGCGTGCCATAGCCAAGCCACTTCATCCATCTTGCTTAGTAGACATACAGGCGAAGTAAGATTCACTTTCATGATATACAAGCGATTTTTCCTCTGCGCCCTAATTAACACTCCACGCTTTTTCTGTCCACCCTGCTGCCGCTCAAACACTTCCAGAATACCATGATCAATTTCAACCCGGCATCCCCCTTCTTCGAGCTGACCAAGGCTAACAATATTGCACTTAAGAGATGGAATAAAGTATACCTCTGTGAGAACTCGGTGGTCGTTGTTCTTTCCGGCGATCGTTACGGCGCCGATCCCGTGAATCTCCACTGTCGACCCATCACCGAACTTCACTGCGCCCCGGACCATCTCGTCTAGAGTCGCCATGGCTTCTCGGCGCCCCGTCATATGGTTCGTGGCGCCCGTGTCTAGTACCCATGCTCCTTCGTGGTATTCCGCCGGGAATACGCGTTCCTGATTTAGGAACACATGCTGCGTCACCGGCATGCTCAGCCTCTTGATGTTGCAAACGTGCGCCACCATCAGAGCTGGTTCTGCCTCAACATTGGCATGATGAGAAGCCTCTTGTCGTTCTTCTTTTGCCTTCGTTTTGCACTCTTTTGCAAAGTGCCCATAGATTTTGCACTTGTGACATCTACCTTTCCGCCGTGGGGTTCCCATCGACGTGAGCTGCTTCCCACCGGAGTCACACGCATCGCCGTCGCCGCGTGCCCCAGATCCGGATCGCTCTTTCTTCACATACTGCCCGCCGCCTTTGCCTCCAGAAGACGAGGTCGAGTCCAACGAACGTTGTTTATTCCTGGCTGCCCACTCCTCTTCTATTAGGAGAAGTTTGCCAGTCTTCTCTATCACTTGCTCCACCGAGGACTCAAACCTCTCTTCTGCTGCCCGAAGATGACCCACAAGCTCCTCGATCGACAGTTTCTTTAGATCTTTGACATCTCAATCACCACACGAAGGAATTTCTTCACCACACGTTCGTCGGTGATGCTCTCCTCCCCTAGCCCTCGCAGATCCATGACGAGCTTTGTGATGTGAATCGCAAAATCATCAATGGCCTCACCCGGCTTGAATGCGATGGATTCGAACTCAGCCAGAAGCTTTTGGGCGTTGACCTCCTTAACACGATCTGCTCCAAGACGCATGATCTTGATTGCCTCCCATGCCTCCTTCACCGTTTTCTTGTTTAGGAGCATGGAGTGCATCTCTTGTGGCACGCCGCGAAGCATGGCACCGAGTGCCAAGCGATCTCGACGTCTCTCCACCTTTGCAGAATCGGCTTCATCAATGGCATCCCAAAGAAACATCCCTTCTAGATTGCACTGGATGTGAGACGACCACTCTTGATAATTCGTACGAGTCAGCAGCGGCCATACCAAATTCCCCGTGGCTTGATTGAAGGCCCGGTCCATGGATTCTTTTTCACCCGAGGTGCCTGAACCCATCTCGACGATGCTTGAGTTCGCGCTCTCCTTTCTTCAACGTTCCGGCGAAACCTTCAGCTCACCGCCACCACACGCCTCCTCTTTCGACAACCAATGGCTCTGATGCCACTTGTTGAAACCAGGCGTTGCCCTAGGTCCTCGAGCTCAGGCCTCGACGACGACGCGCCACCGGCGTGGTGATCGCGGCGACAGAGTAACAGATGGAACAAGATCATGAGAGAATAATGCGCCGCCAAACATCGCGGTTTTTCCGGCCTCTATTGTTTCTTATTTATAATGATAGATGGGATCACGGAACACGTCTCCACATATCCCCGCGCCACGCCACACACCATGTGCCACGCCGTTTCACTACGTCGCGCACCACGTGCTGCGGCATACATCGTGACGCCTACCAAATCGAGAACTCCAGATCGTGTCATGCCCAAGCACGCCTCTGCCCATGCCCAATCTGCTAACTTGACTAGACTCCTATAACTTGATGACTCAACAACGAAATCCTAACCAAATGATGCAACAGTTTAGCTAACACAACACAGCCATCGCGATGGGCGCCGGCGACGACACCAGTCCCGCTGCCATGGAGGTGACCTCGTCCACCTCATCGCCGTCGTCGTCCCCCACCCCGGTGCCACCACCACCACCGCCGCCATCGGTGCTACGGTCCATGCTGCTATCGTATGCGTACATGGGGATCTGGATGAGCCTGAGCTTCGCAGTGATCGTGTACAACAAGTACATCCTGGACCCAAAGCTCTACAACTGGCCGTTCCCGATCTCGCTCACCATGATCCACATGGCATTCTGCGCGACGCTCGCCTTCTTGCTCGTCCGCGTCCTCCGCGTCGTCGACGTCCCATCCTCTCCACAGGCCATGACGCCGCGCCTCTACGCGTCCTCCGTGCTCCCGATCGGCGCGCTGTACGCGCTGTCGCTCTGGTTCTCCAACTCTGCCTACATCTACCTCTCTATCTCCTTCATTCAGATGCTCAAGGCGCTGATGCCCATCACCGTCTACTCCATCGCCATCGCGCTCCGCACCGACGCCTTCCGCCGCGCCACGCTGCTCAACATGCTCGCCATCTCCGCGGGCGTCGCCGTCGCCGCCTACGGCGAGGCCCGCTTCGACGTGTTCGGCGTCGCGCTGCAGCTGCTCGCCGTCGCCGTCGAGGCCACCCACCTCGTGCTCATCTAGATCCTCCTCACCTCCAAGGGAGTGTTGCTCAACCCCATCACCTCGCTCTACTACGTCACGCCATGCTGCCTTGTCTTCCTCACCATCCCGTGGTACGCCATTGAGCTTCTCCGGCTGCGCGCCGCCGCCGCCGGGGGGAGCCTCGCCCGCCCCGATGTGTTCGTCTTCGGCACCAACTCCCTCTGTGCATTCGCGCTCAACCTCGCCGCTTTCCTACTGGTGGGCAAGACTGTTGGTGTAAGCCTGACAGCAACAAGTCATTGAGGCGCATTCAGAAGAGGAGCAAGGAGTGGAGGCGAGAAGCAACAGGTTTGAATCGGTGGGCAACCGATCAAGGTGGCACAGCATGGTGACCGCTCCCACGTTTTGGCAGTTTTCTGAAGAATGTGTTTTTAGTGATATGTATCGCATGTGTTTGCAATTTTCTTTGACTTAGTCGTGTGAGTTAAGCTCTGGTATAAAGATCTAGGTGTTTGGTGTGTGGTGCTTTGCTTTTTGTAAGCCGGTAAGCCACATTGTATTGTGAACCATCAATAGTGAAAAAGGGCACTGTCTCCCGGTGGTCAGCTGGGTAGTTACCATTCCAATTCTCTGTGTTCATGTGTGCGATCATGTGTTCATCGTTCTTGTGAGTTAATCCAGCCACCATACAGCGTGTGATTGAGATTCTACCCGAACATCTGGTATCAGAGCCTTGATCACGCGCGGAGATACTCCAGATTAGGTCCATGTCGATCGTCGCCAGTGGCGGGGATGGGGCGCGAGGCGGCAGGGAAGCGCGCTAGGTTTACCCAACCCTGACGAGCTCGAATTATACCAGTTGGTGCATTCGAGTTCAGGCGATCATGGAGGATTGGGAGGAGTGGGAGGTGGTTGAGCCAGATCCAGAAGCTATGGCGCCAACTACGGCGGAGAAGGTGAAGCTGGACGAGAAGAACAAGAAGGTGAAGGCACATCTCCTTCAGTGCATCCCGGACGACATCCTGATGCAAGTAGCCAAGAAGAAGATGGGGAAGGGGGTGTGGGACTCGTTGAAGGCCAGATTTGTCGGTGCGGAGCGGGTCAAGGATGCGCGGTTGCAAACTCTCAAGACGAGATCCGGATGAAAGACGACGAGCCACTAGATCAAGTTGTTGGGAAACTGTCAACGCTGTCAGTTAAGTACAACAGCTTGGGGGAGTCTGGATGATGCGGCGCTGGTGAAGAAATTGTTTGATATCGTGCCCGATCACTACCTCACGGTCGTGGCAGGAATCGAGCAATTCTATGACTTGAAGACCATCGCATTCGATGAGGCTGTGGGACGTCTGAAGGCATTCGAGGAGCGCACGGTGTGGAGAGGCGGCGGCGCCAGAACCCCAACTGGGCAGGTGATGCTCACCCAGGCTGAGTGGGAGGCCAGGCAGAGATCTGCTGGTGGTGACTCGTCTGGGAAAGGGAAGAGAGGAGATGGAGGCAGCCGAGGTCGGGGGTGTGGCCGTGGCGGCATGGGAAGCGGCCATGGCGGCAGATCTGACGACGGCAAGGAGGGCATAGGGAAGCGTGACAAGAGTCACATCAAATGCTTCAAGTGCCATGACTTTGGGCACTATGCAAATCGTTACCCCGGTGAGAAGAAGAAGGAGGAGGCATACTGTGCAAGGATCGACAGAGAGCCATCAGTGTTGCTAGCAGAAGCTATGTTGTCGGACAAGCTACAGTGCTCTGAAGATCATCAGGTTCAGAAGCTGTTTCTGAATGAAACCAAAGTTGTGCCCGAGCTTCATCTCACTGATGGAGGTGATCCAACTGGTGATGTTTGGTACTTAGACAATGGTGCAAGCAACCATATGTCTATTGATCGTCAGAAGTTCAGAGATCTAAATTTGGCCATCAATGGTAAGGTTCGTTTTGGTGATGATTCAACTGTTGATATCTTTGGTAGAGGTACAATTGTATTCCAAGGAAAAGGAGGTGATCAGTGGGTATTGTCAGATGTTTATTATATTCCTAAGCTTAGGAGTAACCTTGTTAGTTTGGGTCAACTGACAGAGTCTGGGCATAGGATTCTACTTGATGATGATTTGCTTGAAGTAGTTGATAAACATTCTGACAGACTGATTATGAAAGTACCTAGAGCTGGCAATAGATTGTATAAGATTGAGTTGAGCATTGCAGTTCCAAAGTGTTTGATGGCTAGTATTGATAGTCAAGCTTGGCTTTGGCATGGAAGATTGGGTCATGTGAATTTTAGGTCTCTGAAACAATTGGTGGGGAAAGGTATGGCTACTGGGATCCCTGACATCAGTCACCCAGAGCAGGTGTGCAGTGACTGCTTAGCAGCTAAGCAGACTAGAGCAACCTTTCCTAGAGCTACTCATTGGCATGCTGATGAGAAACTTAAATTGGTCCATGTTGATCTTTGTGGCCCAATTACACTAGAGACAGCTGGAGGAAATAAATATTTCATACTGTTGGTAGATGATCACTCTAGATGGATGGAGGTGCACATGCTGAAGAGTAAGGATCAGGCCCTTATTGCATTTGTCAAGTACAAAGCACAAGTTGAGAATGAATCTGGTTGTAAGATTAAGACACTGAGGTCTGATAGAGGAGGGGAGTTTTTGAATGGTGAGTTTGCTGGTGTGTGTGAGCAGGCTAGAATCAAGAGGCATTTCACAGCACTATTTACTCCACAGCAAAATGGAGTTGTTGAGAGGAGAATAGGGGGCAGTGATGGAGATGACTAGAGCCATGTTGAAGAGCATGAGAGTTCCAGGAGATATCTTGGGCAGAAGGCGTGAGACATTCTGCCTTTCTTCTCAACAGGTTGCCAACAAAAATCTTGGGTGAAAAGACTCCTCATGAGGTGTGGACTGGTAGAAAACCAAGTCTGGACACTTGAAAGTGTTTGGCTGCACTGCATATGCTAAAGTAGTGAAGCCTCACTTAAAGAAGCTTGATGATAGGAGTAGGAAGCTGGTATATTTTGGAGTGGAGGAGGAAGCAAAGCATACAGGGTTGTATGATCCTACCACTAACAAAATTGTAGTTAAGTGGATATCTGTGTTTGAAGAGAAATTGGTGTGGGACTGGGATAAACATTCGCATGGTGAGTGCTCTGTTGAGTTTATCGTTGATGGTGATTTTCAGCAGAAAATTATGGTGGAGGGAAACTGTGGATGAGCAGAGATGGCGAGGAACAGGATGGCACAAGTTAATGTACAAAATGCTGGTCTGAATGAACCAAATCTGTTTTAGTGGTCGAGAGATGCGAAGTGCAGCAGATATTGCTGAACCTTCACAAGCTGGTTTCTCAACACCTCAACATGAGCAGACTGATAATGAATTGCTAACACCAACATCAGCAGATGAGAGTGGTGCAATGAGATTGAAAACTGAATGAGGTCTATGATGAGACATCTGAGGTTGAGTTGATGGATTCAGATGTGGAAGCACTACTAGTTGAAACCGGTGAGCCAGCTAACTATAATGAAGCAGCTGTCATCGAGAGTGGGTTGAAGCAATGGACAGGAGATGGAGTCCATAGAGAAGAACAAGACACAACTGGCTAAGTTACTCAGTAGGTAAGAAACCTATTGGTTTAAAATGGGTTTTCAAACTCAAAAGAAACTCGATGGTGAAGTGGTTAAACACAAGGCCGGACTATTTGCTAAGGGCTATGTGCAGAAATTTGGCATTGATTTTGAGGAAGTTTTTGCACCTGCTGTTGCAGATTGGATACAAGTGAGAGTGCTACTAGCCTATGCAGCAAACAATGGCTGGAAAATTCATCACTTAGATGTAAAATCTTCTTTCTTGCATGGAGAATTAGAGGAAGAGGTCTATGTCTCACAACCTGAAGGCTATAAGGTGAAGGGAAGGGACAGGAGGTGTTCAAACCGAGCAAAGCACTTTATGGTCTGAAACAAGCTCCTAGGGCTTGGAATGTCAAACTTGACAAAAGCTTGAAGAAGCTGAATTTCAGAAGGTGTTTAAGTGAGCAGGCAGTGTATACCAGGGTACTGGTGACAATGCAAAGGATCTTGGGAGTCTATGTTGATGATTTGATTGTGACTGGAGGGAATCCGAAAGAAATCATTGTGTTCAAGAAGCGAGATGATGTCTGAATTTGAAATGACGGACTTGGGCTTATTGAGCTACTACCTTGGGATTGAGGTAGAGCGAAAGATGATTTCATCATAGTGAGACAAAGTGGGTATGCTAAGAAAGTGCTGGAACAATTTGGCATGAGTGAGTGCAATTCCACTAAGATACCTATGGAATCTGGTTGCAAACTGGATGCGAGATAAAGGAGGTCACAGGTTGTTGATGCAACTGAATATAGGAAAATGATTGGATGCACGAGATATATCTGTTGCACAACAGACCTGATCTATCTTATTCATTGGGAGTGGCCAGTGGGTTCATGGAGAAGCCTCTTGATGATGCATGCCAAGGTGTTAAGCAAGTTTTGAGATACCTCAAAGGCACAGATTAACTATGGACTGGTTTATGTCCGGGGGGGAAGTGCAGAGAAAGCTTGTGGGATACTCGATAGTGATCATGGTGCGGATATACATGGAGAGAAGGAGCACAGGAGGGATGACTTTCTACTTGAATGAGAATTTGATCACTTGGTGTTCACAAAAGCAAAAGACAGTCTCATTGTCTTCTTGTGAATCAGAGTTTATGGCAGCAACAGCTGCAGCTAAACAAGCTTTGTGGCTCAGGAACCTTATCAGTGAGATCACAAAGGAAAGGCCAAAGGCAGTGACTTTGTTTGTTGATAATAACTCTGCAATAGCTCTCATGAAGAACCCTGTGTTTCATGGTAGAAGCAAACACATTGATCTCAAATATCACTTCATCAGGGAATGCATTGAGAGGGGGCAGATTGTGGTGAAAAGAGTAGGCACCGAGGAGCAGAAAGCTGATGTACTGACTAAATCTATGCCAGCAGTGAAGCTTGCTGTCATGAGTCATTTGATTGGTGTCAGGGACCTTGGTGTGTGTCAGGCTTAGGGGGGAGTTTGTTGGTGTAAGCCTGACAGCAACAAGTCATTGAGGCGCATTCAGAAGAGGAGCAAGGAGTGGAGGCGGGAAGCAGCAGGTTTGAATCGGTGGGCAACCGATCAAGGTGGCACAGCGTGGTGACCGCTCCCACGTTCTGGCGGTTTCTGAAGAATGTGTTTTTAGTGATATGTATCGCGTGTGTTTGCAGTTTTCTTTGACTTAGTCGTGTGAGTTAAGCTCTGGTATAAAGAGCTGGGTGTTTGGTGTGTGGTGCTTTGCTTTTTGTAAGCCGGTAAGCCACATTGTATTGTGAACCATCAATAGTGAAAAAGGGCACTGTCTCCTGGTGGTCAGCTGGGTAGTTACCATTCCAATTCTCTGTGTTCATGTGTGCGATCATGTGTTCATCGTTCTTGTGAGTTAATCCAGCCACCATACAGCGTGTGATTGAGATTCTACCCTAACAAAGACCTCCGCGCTCATTATGTACGTCGCCGGCATCGTCAAGGACTGGCTGCTCATCGCCTTCTCGTGGACGGTCATCAAGGACACCGTAACGCCTGTCAACCTCGTCGGCTACGGCATCGCCTTCCTCAGCGTCGCATACTACAACCACGCCAAGCTGGAGGCGCTCAAGGCCAAGGAGGCCGAGAGGAAGGTGGCGGCCACAGCGGTGGCCAAGTCGGACGATGACGCGGAGGCAGGCGCGCGGCTGCTGCCACCGGGCAACAAGGACGGCGCCGGCGACAATGGTGACCACAAAAACTGATGCACGCAGTCCATGAGTATGGGATATGTTGTACGGAGTTCTACGTGTTTGTTCTTTTCGGCATAGGATTTCTGAAACTTAACTCCTGATCAGATTTTATGCCGTTTATTATGATTTCGAATTCTTCAATCAATAATACACGTACAGGAAATGCAAAGGATAAAGTGAGATATATTTGCAAGGATTTTTGTGCTGAAAAACAAATTTAGTTCTTTGTAGTAGCACATATGTTATTTTTTTCCGTATTCGTGGTTTCTCTGATCACAAGAGTGGTTATTGTAGGCAACAAAAAGTATTCCCGGTCTTTGTTTTTATTTTCGTTTCTTGGCCTATATATAGGCCACCACCCACCAGTTTTGGTGTTTTGTACTGTGATCCCTTTATGATTCCTGGTGAAAATGTTGGCAACAATTCAAGCTAGTCACAAGCTATACGAAATCTTTAGGTTTACTCAAAGTGACACAAGGGAAAAGAGGAAACAAAAAGAGGAGTCGTTAGGTTCACTCAAGTTTCTTTAGCTTCACTTAAAGCCCGGCCAAGACCCAAGAAGAGTCTAACAATGGCCTAATAAAATAACTGAAGTAACATGCTCGGAGTTGAATGTGTCCATTATTTTTTTGTGGCATTATTTATTATTTTAAGTTGGCAGCAGCACGGGCTCTGCCAATAATTGATCAACTAATTACTGAAGAAAAAGTGTACGCAGTACGTGATAGATTTTTAGAGTGTAATCAATCGTTCCATCACCAATGACGACAGTAGACTGGAGACTAGCTGGCTGGTCACACCCACTACCGGAAAAACGTCCTTTGCCAAGATCCGAGATTTTTGCCGAGAGCAAAAACGTGGGCTCTCAGCAAAGAAAACGTGTTCCGAGCGCGGCTCTCGGCAAACACCGGCCGTCGGCAAGTGACAGGATTGCCGTGGGCCTGCATCTCGGCAAGCAACAGCTCTCGGCGAAGTGGGCCATTTTGCCGAGAGCCGCGCTCGGCAAAAAATACCCGTCGGCAAAACGGTCCTTTGCCGTAGGCCGCGCTCTCGGCAAAATCAGGCTCTCGGCAAAACATTGCCGCGGGCCCATAGCTGTGACCTGCCCTGACGGCGTCACTGCTTTGCCGAGAGCCCCTCCGTTACTGCTCTCGGCAAAACTCTTTGCCGAGTGCCGCTCTCGGCAAATATATTTGCCGAGAGCCCCTCCGTTACTGCTCTTGGCAAAACTCTTTGCCGAGAGCCCCTCCTAGGCTCTCGGCAAATGTGGTTTCTATATTTCATGTGCATGTGTTTCTCTTCTCCTAACTCTCTCCAATTAAATTATTTTTTCTTTCATATGCTCCAAACTTTTTTCTCTATAGACATACTACAGGTTGTACTCAATATTAAAATTTTGTGTATTTTTGTAATTATTTGCTATATATAATTAATTAATTGCATTTCAAGGAGTTTTTTTAATCGATTAAAATTTGAACAGCGATTGATTTAAACACGGGAAAAAATAAGTAGAAAATGATATTCATGCTATTTATGCATTATTGAGGGCAAATAACATCTTGTTGATGTTTTTTTTCACCTTTTATTTTACGAATCGAAGACCACGAACATATGTCGCCCAACGATTTAAAAATTCTTAAAAAGGGAAACGAAGTCGGAAAATTGTGATATTTGCAATGAAGTCATGGTATCACACTTGGAGGCTGTGGTAAAAAATTGAAAATGTTTCGCACAAGTGGTTGCGTATGATTCTTACAATCTGAGACATCTCCAAATAGGTTTCATAAAGTTGAGAAGGATCCATTAGGATTTTCAAACAATGTCACGGTCGAATTAGTTTTGGAGTTCCAAACTTTTTGTATAGCCATTAGAGAGCATAAGTTGTAACACCGCAAAATTTTGTATTTTTCCGGAGCCATTTGCTATTTATTATTATTTTTTTGGATATTATTTGCCGAGAGCTTCAGGGGATTGCTCTCGGCAAAGGCTCTTTGCCGAGAGCAACTAGGCCCGCTCTCGGCGCATATTTATTTTTTTTTACCTGGCCTGGATCAATGGTTTGCCAAGAGCTGGCTCTCGGTGAAGAGGTTTGCCGAGAGCTGCTCTCGGGAAAGATTTAATTTTTTTTAGAAATATCATTTTTTGTTCAGTTTGCCAAGAGCTACTCTCGGCAAATAATAATTTTTATTTTTTTAATATTTTTTTGTGCAGTTATCTAGTTAAAAAATTCGAACGAAATTTGAAAAAAAAAACTATTCCGAGAGCCGGATCTGGGGGCCCTCGGCAAAGGGGGAAGGTTTGCCGAGAGCCTCCCAGATCTGGCTCTCGGCAAAGTGGCTTCAGCCACTTAACCATTTCGGCGCAGCCCATGCCATGCCCATAAGGTGAACCCGTTCGGCCGCAGCCCAGCATTCGCCCTAGCCCGCCACGCCGACGCCACAAGCTATATCCGCCGCCGCTCCGCCGAAACCTCGCCGCCGCCATGCCGACCATCCGCCCCATCCCGCCACGTCCGCCGCCCATGCCTACACGCTGCCGTTACGTCTGAAACCTCGCCGCCGCCGCCGCACGCCAGCCAGCCGCCCCATCCCCCGCCCGTCAGCAACGCGCGGCGGGCCGCCGCCCACCCACGCCCGCATGCGCACACACATGCGCGCTCATGCGCCCGGTCGGTCGTCCACGGCCAGCCCGGCCCGTCAAGCCGCCAAATGCCCACCCCACGCCCGTGTGCGCCGCGCCTCTCCTCGCCTCTTGCCACCGCCACAAGCCCTGACCCTCCTCGTCTCTCGCCACCCGCATACGGCTTCGCCCTCGCGCCGCGCCCGACTCGCCCTCGTCCTCGCCGGCGCCCCTCCTCGTCCTCGCCCGCGCCCTGACTCGCCCTCGCGCGTGCCTTGACTCGCCCTCGCCCTCATCCTTGGCCTTGTCCTCACCGTCGTCCTCGCCATCGGCCTCGCCCTCGCCCTCGCCGCGGAGAGGAACAAGGTATACTAAGTAGTATTAGTGGTAGTAGTAGTTAGTAGATGTAGTAGTAGTCTAAGTAGTACTAGTGGTAGTAGTAGTAGTCAGTAGTTAGTAGTTGTAGTAGTAGTTAGTAGTTGTAGTAGTGGTAGTAGTAGTTAGTAGTTGTAGTAGTGGTAGTAGTAGTTAGTGTAGTAGTAGTTGCATTAGTTAGAGTAGTAGTTGTAGTAGTGTTAGTAGTAGTTAGTAGTTGTAGTAGTGGTATTAGTAGTAGTTAATAGTAGTTAGTAGTTGTAGTAGTGGTATTAGTAGTGGTAGTAGTAGTTAGTGTAGTAGTAGTTAGAGTAGTAGTAGTTGATAATTAAGCTGCATGTGGTTCCTTGATATATATGTGATTGTCGGCCATCGTGCCGTGGTTTTCTTTCAGGTTTGGAAACCTCACCGTTCAGGGGAGATGCTGCCGAATTTTTGAGTTGACGTTATTTTGCTTCTTTCTTTCTTTTTTTTGCAGAGTCGAGTCGGAGTACCCGGTGTCCCAGTGTTCCGCCTCACGCATCGCCTCTCTCCATCTGACCACCATACACGGCCCCGCTTAGCCTGACTTCACCGCCACCTAAGGTATAACCACTCTTTCTTTGTCCTGGTCATGTATCTCCACGTAACCCAGTTAGGTGTCTCCCGTTCGAAAGAGATACGGTTAAAAATATGCAGATCTTTGCATATCAATAACCGTATCTATTTCGAATTGTCCATGTTTTTTGGACAGCCCGAGGATGCGCAGATGGTGTTAGTTTCCATGGTCTGCTCCGATCCAAGATAGAGTTTCGATAAGAGATTTCCTATTGTTCTCCGGATACACAATCTCCTGCCGGGGCGTGTATTTGGAGAACAATGGGAGGTGCTTTGTCGAAATTTGCTTTCGATAGGACCGACCATGGGAACTAACACCATCTACGCATCCTCGGGGATTAGACCTATCCTTACCTATTAGATGGTAGGAATGACGTGTAGATGCAAGTCCATGGTTATATTTATTACTTGGTGATATATATGCCAGAGGATGGATGACCATGAGTGGATGTACTCGGGCCGCCGGAGTGCCCGTGACATTACCAGAGAATGGGTCGACAAGACCGAGGATTTCATCAAGCAAGTATTTGACCAGGCTCCCGGAGCGCATGCTGTTTTTTGTCCCTGCATCAACTGTAAGAATAGAAAGAGGCAGACAAAGGAGGTGACGACTTCACATCTGGCTAGGCATGGATTTACAAAAAACTATACCCAGTGGACCCACCACGGTGAAGCCGATCGTGTGAGAGAGGAGGTGGTGAGACCACGTGTCGAGGATTACAATGCTGATGCCGGGGTAGCAGCTTGGTTAGATGAATTTCACGAAGCACACTTCGCTAACGGACGTAGGCAGCAGGAGGAGGAGGAGCCAGAGGCAAGCGCAAAGGCGTATTACGACATGTTGTCTGCGGCAGGGAAACCCCTTCATGGCCACACAGATTTCAAAGCTTGATGGCATTTCACGCTTAATGGCCTTAAAGTCCCAGTTCAACCTCAGTCGAGAGAACTTTGATGAAATGTTGACAGTTATTGGCTCCATCCTTCCGGCGGTCACCTTACGCCCACGTAACATGTACGAATCATAGAAGGTCCTTCGTGCACTTAAGATGCCGTATGAGCAGATACATGCTTGTCCGAAGGGCTGCATCCTCTTTAGAAAAGCACACGCGGATGCAAAGTACTGTCCAAAGTGTAAATCCTCTAGGTATCTGGAGGTAGACTCTGGTGATGGTGAGAAGAGGCAGAGTCCGTACCCCGTGAAAATCCTACGGTACCTTCCATTCATACCGAGGATCCAACAGCTATTCATGACAGAGGAGTCCGTGAAACAGATGATATGGCACAAAAATGGAAAAAGATACAGTCCGGAGAAGATGGTACATCCAGCCAATGGTGAAGCATGGCATCACTTTGATAACATTCATCGTAACAAAAGTGGGGAGGCACATAATGTGCGTGTTGCACTGGCAACAGATGGGTTC